AGAGGCGAGAGGGAGGTTTTCGTCTATTTCTTCGTCAATATTTAGATCTTGGTTTTCGTCAGTGTGAGTGCCATGAATTGTTGGGAACACCCAGGAGTATTCACAGTTCACGCCAAAGTGACCTTCCTGCTTACAAATACAGCACAATAAGGGGCGTGAACAATCACGGGCTTCGTGGCCAACACCCTCGCAATTGAAGCAAATTTTGTTTGTGCAAGCGTTGCTGAAATGGTCTGGACGATTGCATTATCGGCAGGTTGGGTTCTGACGGTTGTATTTAATAAAAATCTGGTATTTCCCAAAACGAAGAAAGCTGGGGATGGGCTTAATGATACGGACTCTGTAATGTCGGAGACCATTATAAATGTTGGGCGCGTACGAGTGTTTTCCTCGGCGATAATGAATGACTTCACAGTAGGGCGTAAGGCGTTTCATTATTGCAAGTTCAGACAGTTCGAAAGGAGCGTCGTAGATAGTTAGGAAAGTGAGCGGTTTATCGATGTCTTGAAGGGCGAAAGGTTCGGAATCAATGTTGAGAGAAATTAGGCATAGGAACTGTTCTTTGGCGGCAATAGATTTGAAGGTGACCACAACTTCACCGTTGAGTTTACGTTGTAAACACTGAATGTCGGTCGGAGAGACATTATACTCGGCAAAAGTATCAAAAACAGTACGGGCGCTTGTATTCTTGTTTGGCATAGAGAAGGCAGATTTCGGCCTTTGAAGCATGCTGTTTTCGGGAAACCGTATTTGCGGCGGTCTTGTTTCACTTGTAATACTAGAAGTGCGAGCAGCTCTTGAAGCGTATGGGTCACCATTAACGGTTGAGCGGTCTGGAACATTTTCGTTGCCAATCCTTAACATTTCTTCCAGTCCATCCACATTCATTGTTAAATCCATTATCATACACAAAGCAAAAGTAGAATAGAGGGCCTAGAGGGCAAACTAACCTGAAAAATCTCGGATTCCGTATATTACGCTTTGACTAGGCAGGAGCGACAAAAGCACGAGAAGCTTTTAACTGTTTCGGCCTTCTGGGCCTCATCAGTGCAGTGCTGATTCTAGGTAGGGGGTGACGCTATAAAGCCACCCCAAACGATCCCAGATTTGTGGTACCATTTAAGCCATGCCAGAGTGCTCAAACTAGAAATTAGTGAGCTTCGTACACTTGCACGACATGACTTATCTTAGTAGAGTGCTTGATTTGGACATAAAAGCACAGCTTTGTAATGCCAAAGAGCTATATACATTGTTTCTTAACAATTGGTTCATGCTTTAGCGTGCACTATGGAGTTATGGAGCACGTGGGAAGTTTGGAGAGCATAAAAGAAGGGCAAGAGTTGCCCGAGGCAATAGCCGAGGGCAACTCTAGCTTCTTGAGCGCTTTCCAAACTTCCCACATACTCCATAACTCGATAGTGCACAGCTAAAGCATGAACCAATTGTTTTATAACATAGCCGGTGGAATCGTGTATCAAATCCGACGCGAAAAACGGACAACAATATCAGAAGTGATTGTTGGCGGTGAGCGAAATATTGAGCAAAATAGGAATGGGTTTTATTTAAATTTTGAGGATTGAAACAGACCAGTTTGTTATTTGTTTGATTTTACCAGTATCTTTCTGTCAAAATTTGCTGCATTTCACCCTCGGAGAGTGGAGCGAATCGTGACGGCGCTGATGCCTAGTCTCTTTTTCCGTTGTTTTTCTCTTTTTCTGCCTCATTTAAGAACTCTAGCCCAAGAAAAAAGGTCGGAAAATCGTCTTCATTTTGGGACTGGTGGGCCGAGTCCTGTTTGTAGCCATTATTGTCGCGAAATATATTATTTTTCCCCGCGCTAATAATGGCGGAATAATGGTTAATAATGG